GTATATATATACATACACACACACACACACACACCTGCAATTGTATATATATCAGTTTCCTCCGGCTTTGCTATGATCTTTCCCAGAGTCGATTGGGTTGGTACAGCCTTTTGGGAAAGATCATTGTCAAAGCGACTTTGCATGTGGGCTAGGTAGGAAGGCCTGTCCGCATCAGAACCACACATAAATCAATAATTGACATATTGCTCTTGTGCTAATCACCACTGATATATCAATTCGTGATTTTAAACTACAGAGTGATTTTGAACTACAGAGACATGTTGATTATCAAATGCAAATGACATATTGTTAAATGTAGGGACATAAGAGAAGCCATGCTAGATCAGGCTAATGGCCCATCCAGTCCAAGACACTGTGTGACACAGTGGCCAGAACCCAGATGCCATCAGGAGGTTCACCAGTGGGGCCAAAACTCCAGAAGCCCTCCCACTGTTGCCCCCCCCAAGCACCAAGAATACAGAGCATACACTGACCCAGACAGAGTGTTCCACATGGCTGATAGCCACTGATGGACCTCTGCTCCATATGTTTATCCAATCCCGGCTTGAAGCTGTCTATGCTTGTAGCTGCTACCACTTCCTGCAGCAGGGAATTCCACGTGTTAATCTCTCTTTGGGTGAAGAAGTACTTCCTTTTATCTGTTCTAAGCCTACTGCTCATTGAGTGCCCACAAGTTCTTGTATTGTGAGAAAGGGAGAACAGTATTTCTTTCTCTACCTTCTGTATCCTGTGCATATAGCATAAAATTGATGTTAATAGACATATTGTTGTAGCAACCTCAATTATTGTTTTATTTTTTGGTATATTTTTGTATTTTTCGTGTGTGAGAGTATGTGTGCACCTGGAAGTGACCTCTGGTGACCTCTGGTGACTGACCCCTACTGACGGCCTGGGGGATATTCAGAGAGGTGGCTGAAAAAAGCCTGCCCCCGCCTCCCGACTGCTGGTATTCCAAGGAGGTCTTCCCTCCAAGTACCTGCCAGAGTCAACCCTGCTTTCAAGATCTGATGAGATCAGGCTTGCCTGGACTATCCAGGTCAGGGCAATTATTGTTTTTTTTAAAGCCTGAAAAAAACTCCAGTGGTGTATTGGGGAGCAGCCATGGGAGGGGGCAAGGAAAATGTGGGGGAAATTTCTGGGTAGATCAGGGGTGTCAAACATGTGGCCTGGGGGTTGGATGAGGTCCCCCCCCGGAGGGCTTCTATCAGGCCCGCAGTCGAACTGGCTGTCTTCTGCTTCTGCTTCCAGTTCTGCTGCTGCTGCGTCATCGTAGTTTTGCAGCTTACAGATACACACCTGAACAGCACACTCAAGATTGCAACAGCACAGACATTTTGATGCAATAATTCAGAGCAAGAGGTGTCAGTTATCAGACACTGTCCCCCCCAAAAAACCCAAACAAATTCAAAACGGACTCACTCAAGGCCTTTTTTTCTGCACGGAGACTCATAGGCAACCAGCCTAGCCAGTTCAAGGCTCCAGTTCAGGAACCTTGGGACGGGGTGGCCAGACCTCCCGGCGCGCCGTGGATCTCCGCGCCCCCGGGAAGCCCCGCCCCCTGGGCTTTTCACTCCCGGAGTGGCGCTCTGGAGAGCTCCGGACCCATCCGACCCCGGCTGTTAAATAAACAAAACATTTCAAGAGTGCTAATGTTTTAAGCATGTTTTATTTTAAGTTAAAAAAACCCCTTTGTCTTTGTGTCCTTTATAAAGTTTATATTTCAGCTACCTGGCATTCCATTTGATGACACACAGGGCCTGGCCCACCAAGGTCTCATTTATGTCAGATCTGGCCCTCATAGCAAATGAGTTCATAACAAAGGGTGCCGCCCTTGAGGTAGATGCTCCATGGCCACTTCAGCTGCCTGTGGATTCATGGCAGCAATGGAGGGAATCCAGACATTGGGGATGCAGGCTTTGAAAGAGGGGCATGCCTTGCTTGAAAAGTGAAAGGGCAGGTGCACACAGTTCAGCAACTATTCTACTTCCAGGAAATGTGCACTGTCAGTACGAAGTAGGGAGAATGCAGCAGTGAGCAAGAGCCTTCAAGCAATTGCTCTGGACTGTGCCCCCCCAAACACTTTGCGACATTTAGAATTCAGACACTTTGCTTCAACACAGAAGAGTCTGAGCCAGCCAAATGATTCCCGTTCGGGTGCATAGTTTCTGAGCTGTCTTTAAGGGCAGACCTATGTAGACTGCTTTACAGTAGTCTAGCCTTGAAGGCACCATAGCATGAATCCATGGGGCCAGAGTCAAGGTAGGGGGCCTTCTTCCAGACTTGATGAAGCTGGAAGAAAACATTTGCTACAGCAGCATTACCTTGCCTCTCCAGTAATAATGCTAGATCCAATAGAACCCCAAGGCTCTTAACTGAGCCAGCAAGCGTCAGCCGAACCTCATCAGAGGTAGGGAACACAATGTGCCTCAAGCAGGTGGAAGAGACAGAGCACATACATTCTGCAAACACCCCATGGGGCACCACTGAGTTCAGTTCAAGGTCCTGCTTGTCACGTGCTCTGCAGCCACAGCTTCCCACATCCAGGCAAAACCTTCTTAAGGCGGTGGTGGAAGGTGCTGTGAAGTCACAGCCAACGTATGATGACCCCACAGGGCTTTCAAGGCAAGGGACAAAGAGAGGCGGCTCACCATGGCCTGCCTCTGCCTAGCAACCCTGGACGTCCTTGGCAGTCTCCCACCCAAGTAGTAACCAGGGCGAACCTTGCTTAGCTTCCAAAATATCTGACGAGATCGGGCTAGCCCGGGCCGCCCTGGAAACGGGTGAGATTGACAGGTGCTGTTTCCTGTGCATTCCCTGCAATGGCCCCCACCTCGTAGAATGGCTTGCCTGAGAAGGGGAGGAAGGTTCCCACACTTGTCTCTGTATAGAAATATTGATTTCGAAATGTGTTCTGCCTTTTTTGCTGATCCCCTGCTGTGCTGTATTTCCTGTTGAAGCCAAATGGTGGGCCCCATGGCCTCCTTGCCATGCTATAAACCCATATTCTTCACACTTCCATGCTGGGAGAGACCAGATGGCCTCTGCCAAAAACAAGCAAAGAGTCACGTACGCAATGAGGCTTGGGGTTTGGGGGCCATGTGACTGTGGGTGTGGTTTTCCAAACTTCCAACCTATCCCCTCAAAGCTACCATGACAACCCAAAAGTTGGACACACCCCTCCTACTCGCATTTCGGGGGGGGAACACAGTTCCCCCGGGTGAGGTGCAGGGGGGCGGGACACATGACGAAGCCCCGCCCCCTGCTTCCGGCCGCCCCGCTTCAGGCCCTCATTCAGCCAGGAGGAGGCAGGAGAAGAGGGAGGTTAATTTGCTCCCCCCCTGCCTCTCCCCACCCCTGCCTGCCTGGGGCCAGGGAGGGCCTTGGCGGGGCTTCTTCACACTCCCACTGGCCTTGCAGGTCCACCGCCGGGCCCCTGATGTCAGGGGGTGTGGCATATGCTAATGAGTTCCCCTAGCTCTTTTTCTATGAAATGACGCCTGGCTGAATGGCCACAGCTGATTGTGACTAGATTGGGGTTTAATTGTCTGATCTCTTGGAAGTGAGTTCTGTTCTGCTCTGCTCTGTCTCTGTTCCTGCTTGTGAGATCCCTGATGGACACCTGAAATGCTGTCCTGCCATGCTGTCTCTGGGAGAGACAAAGAACTCCTTTGTGAAGCTGAGCACATGGCTGCATGCTTGCACAAAGATGGAATTCCTGCTATTACAAATCCCTTGGTGTCTAACTGGATTATTTGGACTGATGCTATCCTGCATGTGGTAACTATGATTTATTAATGAGTAGTTAAGGCACACTGCCTTAGGTTTGTTATTTTGAAATCCTTCTAGTCTATGCTAAGTTCTTTACTGAATAAACTTATTCTGGTTTATAACTTGTCTGTATTGTTGTAACTGAAT